AGAACTGCTGAGATTACCAGCATGTGCCACCACGTGTGGCCCCTTTTTAAATTTTTTGAGACAGGGTCTTTCTCAATTGTTGAGTGTCTTATTCTGGGGGTGTAACTCAGTGGTAGAACACTTGCCAAAATTGTTGAGGGCCTTTCTAAATTGCTGCACCTGGCCTCAAACTTGCAAAATCCTGCCTCAGCCTCCCAAATCACTGAGATTACAGACATGTCACTACACCAGACTCCAACAGGATTTTGTTTTGGGGAGCACTAGGGATTGAACTCAGGGGACACTCAATCACTGAACCAAATTGCCAGCCCTATTTTGTATTTTTTTTTTTTTTCAGAGACAGGGTCTCACTGAGTTTCTTAGTGTCTTGCCTTTGCTGAGCCTGGTTTTGAACTCATGATCCTCCTGCCTCAGCTTCTCAAACCACTGGAATTATAGGCATGTGCCATTGTGCCTGGCTCCAGTGGGATTTTTTCTTTAATATTTTTTTTTTAGTTGTTGGTAGACTTTTATTTATTTACATGCAGTGCTGTGAATCGAACCCAGTGCCTCACACATGCCAGGCAAGTGCTCAACTGCTGAGCCACAGCTCCAGCCCTCCAGTAGGATTTTTAAAATAAAACATGTCACCCTGAATTATGCAAATGAAAAATTTTATTAGATTACTTAAGAATTTTTTGAAAAAGATATGTAAGGGCATCTTGTTCTACCATATAATGAAAACAATCCATGTTAAAGCATTGTGATCCTGGATATGGCTCAGTGGTAGAACTCTTGCCTAGCACATAGAGGCCCTGGGTTCAATCCATAGCACAGCAGAAACAAACAAAACAAGTAGGCAATGTGGCAGATACCTGTAAACCCAACAATTTAGGTTGCTAGGAGGGAGGATTTCAAGTTTGAGGACAGTCTAAGCAATTTTACAAGACCCTGCCTCAAAAAATAAAAAACTTTTGGATTGTAGCTTAGTGGCAAAGCACTCCTGGGTTCAATCCTCATATCAAAATAAATAAATATTTATTGGGCCAGGTGCAGTGGCACATACCTGTAATCCCAACAGCTGGGGAGATTGAGGCAGGAAGATCATAAGTTCGAAGACAGCCTCAGCAAAAGTGAGGTGCTAAGCAATTTAGTGAGATCCTGTCTCTAAATAAAGTACAAAATATGGGATGTGGCTCAGTGGTCCAGTGCCCCTGTGTTCAATCCCCAGTACCAAAATAGATAGATAGATAGATAGATAGATAGATAGATAGATAGATAGATAAAAATAAATGTTGGGTCCTGTAGTGGTGGCACATGCCTATGCAGGAGACTGAGGCAGGAGGATTGTCAAGTTCAAGGCTAGTTTGGGCAACTCAGTGACATCCTGTATCAGAATAAAAAATAAGAGCTAGTGATATAGCTCAATGGTAAAGTGCCCCTGGATCAATCCCCAATATCAGGAATTTAAAAAAGCCTAACCCTAAAAACAAGCATATAAAATATTAGCATTTTGTCGGTGTCCTTTCAGGATCCTTACAGTGTGTTTGCATATATATGTTTAACTACAGCTTAACATACACAAACTTATGCAAACTTTTTTTGGAGGGGGTATTGGGAATTGAATCCAGGGGTACTTATCTACTGAACTACATCTCCAGCCCTTTTTAATATTTTATTTAGAAACAGGGTCTTGCTTAGTTGCTTAGTGCTTCACTAAAATGCTGAGGCTGGCTTTGAACTCCTCCTGCCTCAGCCTCCCAAGCCACTGGGATTACAGGCATGTGCCACCTTGCCTAGCACCTTTTTTAAATTAAAAAAATACTATTGTAAATATTCTTTTGCTCTTTTCACTGAATATAAGATGCTGTTATTATTCCTGTTTAACAAATGAGCAAACTAAATCACAGACAAGGGTGAGATTCCTTGCCCAAGGTCACACAGCTAGGAAGCTTCCAAACTGGGTTTCTAACCATTGCCTAGCTAGCTCTAGGCACTACCTTCTATAGACCTATATGGCCAAGCCTGTGGGAGGAAGTTAGAGTGTTATGAACAGGGAAATAACATGTTTCATGCTTTAAAAATATCTTTCTAAACAGTGTAAAAAGTAAATACAGTAGAATAAGAGTAGAAGCAGGGAGACTAGTTAAGGGACTATTGCTCACATCCAGGGGTATATGGAGTGGCTTGGGCTAGAACAGCAGATAGAAATTAAGTACAAAAGTCAGGACTTATGTTGGAATTGATTTTAGATTGAATGTGAATTTTTTTTTTTTTTTAGTTGCAGTTGGACACAATGCCTTTATTTTGTTTATTTATATGTGGTGTTGAGGATTGAACCCAGGGCCTCACACATGCTAGGCAAGTGCTCTACCCCAGACCTGAATGTGAAATTTGATGAGGGAAAGAAAGATTCATGGATGTTTCATGAACTTTTGGCCTAAGTAAACAAGATAGACAGCAGTAACAAGCCAGGAAATACTGTGAGAGTGACAAATTTAGGAATAAGTTTGAGAAAATTTATTTGGAACAAGTTAAATTTGAGTGTCAATATGATCTCCAAATGAGGGTGTTGAGTGGACAATTGAATATATTGAGTGTGACATTCAGGGAATTAATTAGGACTAGAAATGAATATTTGGAAGTCAATAGTGTATGGGAAGAACTAAGGCAAAGAAATTGTATGAGATCAATAGAGCATCGGTTTAGAGGATGGAGCCCACCTACTGTCATATGCAGTACTGGCCACAGAGGTAATTTCATCCTTACTTGAATTATTCAACTAATTTCTGCATCTCCTGCTAGACCAAAGCTCCCTGACTAATAGTACTATGGTTGCCTTTCCTCACCATTATGTTTAATGACATGATACCTGGCCTTTAGCCAAACCACAACAATCCCCAACCCTTTATATCTCATTTTATTTTGTTTTGAGACAGAGTCTTACTAAATTGCTGAGGCTGTCCTTGAACTTGAGATCTTCCTGCCTCAGCTTCCCCAGTAGCTGGGATCACAGGTGCCACCATACCTGGAAGTTTAGGAATTCTTTTTTTTTTTTTTTTAGTTGTAGATGGACACTTTTTTTATTTATTTGGGTACTGGGGATTGAGTTCAGGAGTAGTCGACCATTGAGCCACATCCCCAGTCCTATTTTGTATTTTATTAGAGAAAGAGTCTTACTGAGTTGCTTAGTGCCTTGCTTTTGCTGAGGCTAGTTTTGAACTCTTGCCATCCTCCTGCTTCAGCCTCTAGAGCTGCTGGGAGTAATCCAGTGTTCATCACTGTGCCTGGCTTTTATTTATTTTTATGTGGTGCTGAGGATTGAACCCAGTGCCTCATATGTGCTAGGCAAGTGCTCAACCACTGAGCAACAATCCCAGCCCTGTTCAGGAATTCTTTAGAAAAAGACTGAATGTGGGCTGGGATGTAGTTCAGCATTTGGCTAGCATTTGCAAATCCCTGGATTAGATCAAAAAGACTTAATGTCCTCTTCTACTCAATGGAGTAAACTTAATACTAGTAACACAAAATGATATTTGAAATTTCATTTGCAGAAAATGTATTTTGGGTCTTTTGTTAGTACCATAATAATTTACATGGATATGTTTTGTCACAACAAAATGAAACAAGTACACTGGAATAATATGTAGATCTTTGTGTTGCTAATATACAAAACTCATAATCTTACAACATATTACTCATTAGTATTAATTTTCACTTTAATTAATTTGAGTCTTTTTAATACTTGATTATACCTGATTTATGTACATGATCTTTGAATTATTTGGAAGCTGAAAATCATGAGTTTCTTACAGGAACTACCTAAGAAAGCCTGTTAGGCATAGGTATCTTGACTATTAGTATACAAGGGACTTCAGTATGGGTAGAAAGGCTTTTGTTGTTATCTATGGACCTGTACTGCCAGGAGGCACCCTAACATCATAGGTTTCTGGCATTTCCAATGTGCTAGAGCAGCAACTTGAGGAAGACTTGGTCCTACCTATCAACATTTGCAATCCAGTCCTAGAAGGTAATGGAAGTCCTAATGGCAATTAAGAAGTGTGAGAATAAATTGAGCAGCAAAGCAGTTAAGATGCAATTTATTTAATTTTATTTTTGGATCCGGGGATTGAACTCAGGGGGCACTCGACCACTGAGCCACATCCCCAGCTCTATTTTATATTTTATTTCGAGACAGAATCTCACTAAGATGCTTACCATCTCAGCCTTTGCTGAGGCTGGCTTTGAACTCTTGATCCTTCTGACTCAGCCTCCCTAGCCGCTGGGATTACAGGCGTGCGCACTCGGTAAACTGCAATCTTATACAGCGAGTGGAAGCCGGAAAATTGCATAATCCATTCATGGCGGGAAAGCTGAAGCCTGCAGCTGCATTGCGGCTCCCAGGCCACCTAGCAAACTTCTTTGGAGAAAAGACAGCTCCCCCTGTCTGTTTAGCTCCCCTCCGGTCAGAGAGCTGCTAGGAAACCAATGATCTTTTATCCACGATATGGATACCAAGGTGTGAGAATAAACAGTGGAATCAGCAGCCAATCCAAAAAAAAAACAAAAACAAAAAACAAAACTATGGATAAGGGATGGGGTTGTAGCTTGAGGCACTGGGTTTGATCCTTAACACGGCATAAAAAAACTAAACACCTAGTTCACCTAGCACTTGCAAGGCCCAGGGTTCGATCCTCAGCACCACATAAAAACAAATAAGTGAAAAATAAAGGTTTGCGTTCAACTACAAGTTATTAAAAAAAAAAACAAATAAAGTATGATGTCCATCTACTACTATTAAAAAATTAAGAAATAAAAAGCGATGATGTAAAAAATATCTCGACCATCTTTTCAAACTTCTGGGCAGTGGGCTTTGTAGCGGTATCTTGACCCCAGTTCAGTAAAAAGCAAGCTTCCAAGAAAGCAGCCCCTGGGGGAACCCTTGCCTGCCGGGCGTAGCTACCCCGGCGACCGCGCGGCGACCCCGACCGGAAGTGACGCCAGTGCACTGAATACTTCCGGAGCTGCGGGGACGACTCTGGCAGAGGAAGCAGCGCGGGCCGGACCGGCGTCGGCCCGCAGCTTCCGCTGCTACTTGCACCTCAGTGTGTTCGTGTGGTTCGCCTGACCTGGTCTGGCCCGCTCGTGCTCTGCATCTGCGAATCCGCGGCTCCGGGTAAGTGCGCGACTTGAGTTGAGGCCTTGTTTACCCTGACTAGCTGGTGTGTGTGTGTGTGTGTGKGKGGGGGTGGAGTGTTTCGCGCGCCTCCCGGACCGGGCAGGGCTCCGCCTTCACCGCCGCCTTCGAGGCCCCCGGCGCCCACAGCCTACCGTACGTGGTTCCAGGGTCTCTGCCGCCTGAGAGGGACGGCAAGGGCCTGTGAGCCAGAGTTTCTCTGGCTTTCCTTCTCATGCAGCTTTTTCGAGTCGCAGAGAGATCGGAGGCCAGCGCCTCTGAGCGGCAGGCGCTGGCACGTCTGGGCGCTCTCAGCCAGGCGCTCCGAGGCTCTCCACTCGAGTTATTTTTGGGAGTTCTGGTAGTGGTGTCCTCGCGGTTTGTTAACGCCTTTTCTCTGAAGGGTCTCCCGCCAGCGCGTGAACTCGTTGTCCGCGCGGGTGTCCCGTTGACCTCACCTCTGGAATAATATACAACTAGGAATTGCGTCTCCACCTTGCCTGAGGCTGCTGGGTTACCCTAGAGAGAGGGAAACGTGTTCTCTTATGACTTCGCCATAGTATTGATTGTTATTTTGTCCCATAGAACTTTCTGTCACAATGGATATGTTCTGTACATTTGCTGTTCAGTATGGTAGCAACTAGTCACACGTGGCCATTGAATGTTTGGTATGTGGCCGGTTAGACTGGGAAACTAAACTTTACATTTTACCTTTTAAGTTAAGTTTGAAAAACCGGACTACCTTATGAGACAGGACAGATGGAATGAAGAGTTTTGAAACTAAGTTCCTTGTTCATATTTTTGTGCCCAAACTGTTTTCTTTGGAAATGTTGTTAGTAATGACCTGTGCTAGATAATCATTTCTAAAGTAAAGTCCGTCAGTCTTGCCAAACGTCTTTTTGTTATTGTGAACTTTGAGAAATCTTCAGTTTGGACACTTTTCCTTGTGTGACCAGGCCTGGTGAGTGAGCCTAGGGTGGGTGGCAGATGGATGAAAATATGACTTTGGATGGGGGAAATTGGTTTTAATTACTCCATATTTAACATCCAAATGAAGTCGAAGCATTGCCATCAGTTTTGTTATAAAGCAGGTACAGCGATGTACACCTATTATCCCAGCTATTGGGGAGGTTGAGGCAGGAACACAAGTTGGAGATATGCCTCTGCAATTGAGGGAGACACGATCTCAAAATGAAAAATTGAGAGGACAGGAGATATAGCTCAGTGGTAGACCACCATGGGTTCAATCCCCAGTATGGGGGTGGAATACTGACCTCTTTGAGCAGGGTCAGCACTGATACTGAACTTTGAAAAAAATAAAATTTTTGTTTTTGTTCTTTGGCACTGGGAATTTAACTCAGGGGCACTCAACCACTGAGCCACATTCCCAACCCTGTTTTTTGTGTTTAAAGAGACAGGATCTCACTGAGTTGCTTAGTGCCTCACTAAGTTGCTGAGGCTGGCTTTGATCCTCCTGTCTCAGCCTCTTGAGCCCCTGGGATTTCAGGTGTGCGCCAGTATGAAAATAATAAAAATTAATTATTATTTACTTTTTTAAGACAGTATGGAGATTGAATCCAGGGATACTCTATTATCAAGTTATTTTCCCAACCTTTTTTATTTTTTATTTTAGGATAGGGTCTGCTAAGCTGCCCATATTGGCCTTGAACTTGCAATTCTCCTGCCTCAGCCACCCAAGACGCTGGGATCACAGGCATGTGCCACTCCAATTGGCCAACTTTTAATTTAAATCTGGACCTAGAATACCCACAAAGTAGAATTAGAGTTCTTTTTTCCCMACAATTCTTGAATATTTGGTTGATAAGAAGCCTCTGGTCAACCTCTTTTTTTAAATTTTTTTTAATATTTATTTTTTAGTTTTCAGCAGACACAACATCTTTGTTTGTATGTGGTGCTGAGGATCGAACYTGGGCCGCACGCATGCCAGGCGAGTGCGCTACCGCTTGAGCCACATCCCCAGCCCTCTGGTCAACCTCTTAAGCACAGATCTTGAGGATAAATTAAAAAAAATTGAAAGCACATTCTTTTGTTGGTGTTATCCCAGAGGCTCTTCCTGTAGCTTTCTATCGGGCTCTGTGGGAAGGTGATAGCTAGTTATGAATCCCCATAGACCATGGGTCTAATGGAATACTGATGTGTTCTGCTTTTTGTCAGTGGTGTGATCCTGGGCAAGTAAATTACTTAACCTTTATAGACTGTAGCATACTCATTGGTAGGAAGGGGAAAATAATGCACTTTGGCTGGAATGGTGGTACATGCCTATAATCTCAGCAACTCTGTAGGCTGAGGCAGGAGGATTGCAAGGTCAAGGCCAGCCTCAGCAAATATAAAAAGGGCTGAATTGTGGCTCAGGGGTTGAATACCTCTGGGTCAATCCCAGTTCCAAAAAAAAAAAAAAAAAAGCCACTTTATAGGATTATGAAGATTAAGGCTGTTCTGTTATCATTTTTGACAGGGTTGAACTCAGGGATGCTCTACCACTGAGCTACCCCCAGCCTTACACTCACACACATAAACACACACACACACACACACACAGGTACTGGAGATCGAAACCAGGGCCACTTAACCACTGAGCCACATCCCCAGCCCTTTTAAAATATTTTAGAGTCAGGGACTCACTGAGTTGTTTAGGGCCTCACTAAGTTGCTGAGACTGGCTTTGAATTTGTAATCCTGCCTCAGCCTCCCAAGCTGTTGGGTACAGGCATGTACCACTGCTCCTGGCTACAATAATTTTTTGAGAGGGTCTCCATAAATTGCTGAGGCTGGCTTGAACTTTCACACCTCCTGCCTCAGCCTCACTGGGATTACCTGTATGCACTACCATGCCCAGCTAATGAGACCTAATGTTTGGGTTTTTTTGTGTGTTTGTTTTGTTTTTTTGTTTTTAGTATTGGGGATTTAACCCAGGAACGCTTAACCACTGAGCTACATCCCCAGCCCTTTTTATTTTTTATTTTCAGAAACGGTCTCTCTAAGTTGCTTAGGGCCTTGCTAAATTGCTGAGGTTGGTCTTAGACTTGTGATTTCCTGCCTCATCTCCTGAATTGCTGGGATGATAGACATGTGCCACCATCATCTATTGGTAATAATGGTTTTTTTCTTGTAAATGGTAGCAATATTCACATTAAACTTGCCCAATAAGTAATATCTTATGTAAAAATATAGATAAAAAGACGCTTTGAAAAAATTCCTCCATTCTTCCCCCTCCTCCCCATACTGGGTATTGAATCCAGGGCACTTTACCACTGAGCTACTTCTCCAGCAGTTTTTATTTTTTATTTTGAGAGAGGATCTTGCTCACTAAACTGCTGAAGTTGGCCTTGAACTTTGCCATCCTGCCTCTACCTCCTAAATTGCTGGTATTATATGTGTGAGCCACTATGCCCAGTTTTCATTATTTTGAAAGTAATCTATAGTTATTGTTCAGACTTAGATTTTTCACTTAGCTTATATTTTCCTTTCTATATCTGAAGTATTTCTCTGGAAGTTATAGACCTGTTTTTTTACGAAATTTTTTTCTTTCTTTTTTTTAAGATGTTCATGGACCTTTATTTTATTCACTGAGAATCAAACTCAGTGCCTCACACTTGCTAGGCAAACACTCTCCCTCTGAGCCACAATCCCAGCCCCTTTTCATGAAAATCTAAAGAATAAAAGCAACTGACATTAAATTTCTTATTGAATAAGCAGGTAGTACTTACTAGTCTCTTAAGAAAGCCAGATGTCCCAGGAGGAGTAAGTCAGAAGAGAAATGGGAGATGGATATTAATATTGCCTATTGGGCGTCCTATTGGGCACATTTTTATTTGAGTATTAACTTTTTCATTAGTTAAGTGAGATCTGAGGGCTGGGGATGTGGCTCAAGCGGTAGCTCGCTCGCCTGGCATGCGTGCGGCCCGGGTTCGATCCTCAGCACCACATACAAACAACGATGTTATGTCCTCCGAGAAATGGAAAATAAATATTAAAAAATTCTCTCTCTCTCTCTCTCTCTTTTTTTAAAAAAGAAAAAAAAGTGAGATCTGAAATATTACCAGTATTCTGTGTTAATTAGCACAGCAATGGTAACTTTATAGTAGTCCAAGTCAGTTACAAATTTTTTTTGTCAACCTCTGTAACATTCAGAATTGAAATAGTGGTATTTAAGGGCTGGGGATGTGGCTCAAGTGATAGCGCGCTCGTGTGGCATGCGTGCGGCCCGGGTTCGATCCTCAGCACCACATACAAACAAAGATGTTGTGTCCGCCAAATACTAAATAATTAAAAAAAAATAGTGGTATTTAAGATAGGGACTGTGAAGATTGGAGTACAGAAATAAGGAAGTAGGCTTTCAAACTGGGGGAGGGGAATTGGGAAGCATTTCTATCACTAGTACCCCAAGTTAAATTATAACACTGTTAGCTTTGAATGCTTTCTCTTTTTAGAAGATAATGTAATTCTTGTAAGTATGATATATGAGTTTTTTTGGGGGGAACCTAAAAGAAGATAGTAGTTTCTCTGGTCCCTTGTTTTTTTCTGTTCATTTATTTTATGGTGCTGGGGATTGAACTCAGGGCCTCATACTTGATAGTAAATGCTCTACCACTGAGCTATATCCCCAGCCTATACTTGTCTTTTTAGATCTTTGCTTTCGAAAAAATAAATTTGTGAAAGCAGGTACTAGTTTTAAAAATATAAATATTCTGTGTTTTCATTTTAGATGGAAATCATATGACAAAATATTTGGGTGACAGCTGCCTGAAGGGTCTTCAGAAATTACAGGTATTTTTAAATTAAAGATTAACATTATTGCAGAGGAAAAAAAATACCATTTATAAGTTCAGTTGTAATTAGGAGATTCTACAAAATTTGTTAAAAGCTAAACTGCAAACATCATTTTGCTGCCCTGTGTGTATTTTTTCTTTTATTTTTTTAAAGTGGTACTTTTATTAGTGTATTATAATTATTCATAATTGCGAGGTTCATTTTGAAAAAAAWCATTCTTGCATGGATTTTATTTTTGGTGGTACTGGGGATTGATTCAGGACTTTGTGCATGTGAGATAAGCACTATACTAACTGAACTATATCCCCAGCCCCATGCATGGAATTTTATTTGCTCCATTTCACTGCTTGGTGCCCCACCGTGAGCCTATTTATTTATTTGTTTGCTTGTTTTGGTGGTGTATGTTAGGAATTAAACATACTACCTCATGTGTGCTAGGCAGATGTTCTACCACTGAGCTACATTTCCAGCTTTTCCCAGTCGTTTTTACTTTTCATTTTGGGACAAGGTCTTGCTAAATTGTCCAGGCTTGCCTTGGAATCATTCTGCCTCAGCTTCCCAAATTGCTGGCATTATAGGCGTGCACGATTGTGCCTGGCTTGATTTGTTTTTTTTACTACCTCCCCTTCTCTCTCCATTTTTAAATCTAAACACTAGTTGATTTTTTTTTGTTGTTGAAAGTCATCACTTGAAATAGTATTTGTTGGGCTGGGTTCGATTATCAGCACTGCATATAAATAATTAAAATAAGGGCTCATTGACAACTAAAAAAAATAGGTATTTAAAAAAAAAAGAAAAGAAATATTATTTATGGAGAGAAGTTAGTATTTCCTTGAGTAGAAGTTAACATTTGTGACTGATTTGCTTTCTCAACTAGTGTTCTTTTTTCATTTACATATAACTGAGTAACATTTTGATCTGTGAAGATTTTTCAATGGCTGGTTGGATTTAAACTCTTGTTTCTTCATCCAATATAGATTATGATTTTTCCTAACCTTGATCCTGATAGGCAGAATATGTGCAGTTTTTTCTTCACTATTGAATCACTTAACTTTTCTTTCTCAGTACCTCTTTAAAGCTTCAGCAGACTCTTTTTTTTTCACACTCCTTTTTTTTTTTGAGAGAGAGAGAACTTTTTAATTTTTTTTTTTTTAGTTTTCGGCAGACACAACATCTTTGTTTGTATGTGGATCAAACCAGGCCTCACACATGCCAGAGGAGCTCACTACTGCTTGAGCCACATCCCTAGCCCTTCAGCAGACTCTTGTTTGAGATGGTCTTGCAAAGTTGCTGAGGGCTTCTGTAAATTGCTGAGGCTGGCCTCAAACTTATGATCCTCCTGCTTCATCCTCTGGAGTAGCTTAGATTATAGGTGTGTGTGACCACATCTGGCTACTCACAGAACTCTTTTTTTTTTTTTAAATAATTTTTTAGTTGTAGATGGACACAGTATCTTTATTTATTTATTTTTATATGATTCTAAGGATCGAACCCAGTGCCTCATGTGCAAGGCAAGCGCTGTGTCACTGAGCCACAGTCCCAGTCCCTCAGCAGAGCTGAAGAGCTATGTGGTTTTTATTTTTCTTCTTTTCAGTTTTTCTTTCTTTCTTTCTTTCTTTCTTTTTTTTTTAACCAGGGATTGAACCCAGGGGTGGTTAACCATTGAGTCACATCCCCAACCCTTTTTTTTTTATTTTGAGACAGGGCGTTGGGAAGTTGCTGAGGCTGTCTTTGAACTTGATATTCTTATGCCTCAGCTTCCTCAGTCCCTGGGTTTGCAGGTGTGTGCCACTATGTCCTGTTTATTTTTCTTTTCTAACTGTGCACCTATTTTCCAGTCATCTGAGATGGATGTCTGTGAAAAAATATTTTCTTTCCCTTATATTATACCAGGAAGGAACTGTCTCCCTAATTACATACTATCTGTGCCACCATTCACTGGGGACGTGCTTAGCAAAATTTTAAACTTTGATAGCTAAACCTTTAGATTATCTCTTTATGCAATCAGCTGAAAGAATATGCTGCTTCTTTAAGGACTTTGGCAAGAAGGGCAATTCCATTAGAATTTGACTTCCTGATATGGGATAGAAAGCCCTGCCCTTTTGTGCCAGGCCCTTCTTGTGGTTTTATTACCAGCTTCTTTTGCTTCTAGAGGGAGGGTTTCCCTTTGATAAGCTTGAGTCAGGGAGATTATGGTAAAGAGTCCTCATATGAAACTTAAGTTAGAATATGCCATATTGGGCATAGGGCCAAAGCTATGGCATTTTGATTTTTTAATGGTTTTGGTTATAATTTCTCATGGGGAAAGTAATATTTCTTTTTTTTCCTTTTTTAGAAGACAAAAACACTAATGCATTTGAGAAAGCGGTAAAATTTGGGGGGAGGGAGAGAAAGCAACTCCTTTCCTGATCTGCAACTTGACTGGATGCTAAGATGTCTGTGGACATGAATAGCCAGGGGTCTGACAGCAATGAAGAGGACTATGACCCAAATTGTGAGGAGGAGGAGGAGGAAGAGGAAGAGGACCCTGGGGACATAGAGGATTATTATGTGGGAGTAGCCAGCGACGTGGAGCAGCAAGGGGCTGATGCCTTTGATCCTGAGGAGTACCAGTTTACTTGCTTGACATATAAGGAGTCTGAGGGTGCCCTCAACGAGCACATGACCAGCTTAGCTTCTGTCCTAAAGGTGAGTAATGTCAATTCCAAGTGTACTCTCTCCTGTTAAATCTAAGATGAGCTGTTGTTAACTAATGTCTCTTTTAGACTGATTGAATGACCTTGTAGCTTGAAACTAAATTTAAGTATATGTTGCATCATCTGGTTATTTTGTTACATTTACTTGTTTTCTGATATGTGCATGTCCTGAGATTCCCAGATTATTAAGAATTAGAAAGGAGGGGTAGAAAGGTTTTAAAAAGATCAGAACTATGGTGGTAGCAAAATTGTACAACTGGGTGTTTCAGAATGTGATTCTTAATGCAGTAGATAAGCATCAGAATTACCATCTTTTTTTTATTAATTTTTTGTGGTACAGGGGATTGAAACCAGGAATGCTCCACTACTTGAGTTATATTCCCAGCTTTTTTTTTTTTTTTCCTTTCTCTTTCTCTCCCTTGAGACAGGGTTCACTAAATGGCTTAACCTGGCCTCAAATTTGCAATCTTTCTGACTCCTGAGTTGCTGGGATTACAGCTACCATCCTCTGTGTAACACTGTTTGATAATGTCTTGAGAATATTGACAACCTTTGGGTTTGCTCTAAATAATCAGTGCCTTTGGGTTAATGAACTCACTGGTTTTGTATACTGATGACTACTATCTGATATTGAAAGGGATTTAAGCAACAACTGTAAGAATAAAGTAGGTTTGTATTTAAATTGATTTGGAGGGGTATTAGTATTGACATTTTGAAGAATGAACAAAATTGGTTATTCCAGTGAGGATTATATTTTCTTGGCACTTAGCATACACTTGGATCTCTTGCACCTCAGGCCAGTTATTGTTGCCAGTGTTTTTTATAGTTATTTAAAGTTTGCCAGCTTGTTTCCTTCTCTAACATTGGCCATCATGTGAAATGTGAACATTTCTCTTACTTCATTGTTTTCACTGATCTTCCTTCACCAACTATTATGTGGATTTTGTTGTCTGATCAAATTTGAAGCTTAGAAGGGCATAGTGGCATGCTTTCAATCAAATAAATTTTCTTCTTTGTGTTTAAGTGGAAATATCTAAAATGTGCTGTGTATGATTTGTGTAAAAGTTGTTTTATTTACTAGTTTAAGAAATTTTTTCCTCAGATAATCAGCAAAGGTAAATACCTTGGATTTAGTTAATTAAGGCATTGTTAGCAACTGACTGGGAGCTGAAAACAGCTTTTTTTTTAATGTGTGATTCATTTCTAGAAATGATTGCAAGATGTCCTCTCTTATGCTTAGCAGAAAACTGATGAATAGAGCCCTGGAGATACTCTGGGTCTGGAGTTTTTGTCCCATGATTATAGCAAAGATGCTGGGCTCCGCTTTTGGAGGGCATTTCCCTAGTAGAGAAAGGCATTAGGTTTCTTCTTTTCTCACCATGTACACCTCTCCTTTTTGTTCAAGTAGTTTCTTTGCTTTAAACATACTGTGAGATTATATACAATATTGGTATTTAAAATTGGAAAAGGAATTGGAGAGTTTGTGGATGTACATTGGATAGTGTCATTTGACCAAGGTCAATAGGAGTCTCCCATTTTATGCACAGTTATTGTTTGTCAAGATCTCTGCACTGGACATAGTGGTGCACTCTTGTAATCCCAGCAAGTCAGGAGGCTAGGTAACAGGATCATAAGTTTTAGCCTCAGCAATTTAGGAAGACTCTGTCTCAGAATAAAAAATAAAAAGGGCTGAGTATGTGGCATAGTGGTTGAGTGCCTCTGGGTTCAATCCCCAGTACTGCCCCTTCCCCCTCTCCAAAAATCTCTGTGCCAACTTTTCTGGCCTACTTGAAACATCTGAGGGGCCCCAAGCACCTGTCCTTCCTCCTCCTTTTCCTCTTCTTTCTTCTTTTGTGGTAAAATAAACATAACATAAAATTTACTATTTTATGTTCCTCTTTCTTGTGATATGGTAGGCCCCTCCAAAGCCTTCCCTTCACCTCCTCAACATTTCATGCCATTAGGACTTCTTCAGAGTCTAGCTTCTACTTTTCCCTGAGTCAGGCTACTTGAGACCTTGAGGTCACAGTGGTCAGGGCCCTCCTTTGGTCTGTACTTAAACAGTATAGGTATGTCTATATTTTTAGTCTTCCAATTGCTTTATTTTGTTTTTCCTTTCACACGTTTTTCATGATCATTCAACTAGATTTTTAGGTCTGGCCACTATTTCTGCTACAGTATTTCTTAGATTTGTATGCACACCATGCTAATCAAACACTCCATCACTGAGCTCTATCCCTAGCCCTGTCACAGCATTTCATCCACAGTAGATATTGAATAATTTCTTGGATACTTTTGGATTTTTTTTTTTTTGAGAGAGAATATTTTAATATTTATTTTTTTAGTTTTCGGCGGACACAACATCTTTGTTTGTATGTGGTGCTGAGGATTGAACCCGGGCTGCACGCATGCCAGGTGAGCGCGCTACCGCTTGAGCCACATCCCCAGCCCAAGGATTTTTTAATTTTTTAAAATTTTTGTACATGGGATTGAATCCATAGATGCATTACTACTGAGTTACACCCTAGCCCCTTTTATTTTTATTTATTTATTTAAATTTTGAGACAGGGTCTTGCCAGAGATTTTGCCACATTGCTGTGGTACTTGAACTTGCAGTCTTTCTGCCTCAGCCTCTTTATTCTCTGGAATTAACAGGAATGTGCCAGTCAACATGCCTGGCAGTCCTTGTGGATTTTGTTATTGATGTTGACAGTAGCTACTGTTGTTGGTATTAACTAGATTCCTAATCCTTGCTGTACATCCTTTTCTATTGTCATGAAAGGGCATTATTCTGGACTTTAAGATCAAAAAGAGAAGCAAAAAACAGAAATGAGGGAATAAAAAGAGATGAAAGGGAGTTGAAACAGAAGAAAAGGATAAAAAGGAAATGGGGCAAAGAAGTGGAAAAGTTTCTTTGGTAGTAGAATAAAGATTTTGTTTATTTCTCTTCCTTGTCTTCTGTAAGGAAGGAATGTTTTTTGTTTTTCAGGGACTGGGCATCAAGAGTCATAGGTTAGCTATACCTAAAAGGCACTCAGTGGTGTTTCAAGTTGCTAAGAAACTTTGCTGAAGAGACTGAACTGAAGAAGTTGATTAAGAATAAGAAAGGGGCCGGGGTATGGTGGCACACACCTGTAATCCCAGCAGCTAGGGAGGCTGAGATAGGAGGATTGTGGGCTCAAAGCCAGTCTTAGCAACAGCAAGATGCTAAGCAACTCAGTGAGACCCTGTCTCTAAATAAAATACAAATAGAGCTAGGGATGTGGCTCAGTGGTTGAGTGTCCCTGAGTTCAAATTCCAGTATCTCCCCCCCCCCAACAAAAAATAAAATAAAGAAGGGGTAGGGATGTGGTCTGTGTTGTCCTAGCCCCTTGGGAAACTGAAGCAGGGGAATCACTTGAACAGTAGTTTAGGACTGTTCTGAGCAACATAGCAAGATCCTGTCTGGAAGGGAGTGAATAGTAAAGGAAAAGCAATCTCACACAATTTTTCTGTATTAATTATGGAATTYGAAATTAAAAAACTGGCATTGTTTTATTTCTGTAATATTTTTTGAGGAAGGGAGGGAATGGTTTAAGAGCTGAATTTACCCAGTGGTGTTTATAATCTAGTTCCCTGCTGGGTGCAGTGGTGCATGCCTGTAATCCCAGTGGCTCAGGAGGCTGAGACAGGAAGATAGAAATTTTAAAGCCAGCCTCAGCAGTGGCAAGGTGCTAAACATCTCAGTGTCTCTAAACAGAGTACAAAATAGGGCTGGGGATGTGGCTCAGTGATCAAGTGCCCCTGAGTTCAATCCCTAGTACCAAAAACAAATCATTTATGTATTTAGTTCCCCTGTTGCACGTGTCTTCCTGAAAAAGGGACCAATAGTGACAGTCAACCAGATTACCCCTGGTGTGCCCATCAGTTGTGCTATTTGTACAATTCTGTGACATTGAGATATTTAATTGTTTTGTATAGTTTTACCAAAACTGTTTGGTTCATAGAAATCGTTAGGTGTATATGTAACTTAAAATTATAGCCTGTGAACAGCTATCTATGAATAAAATCTGTATGTTTAAGGAGTGGCTTAAATTTTTCACTGTTACTTGTTTGTTGTGTAATATGCCTGTAGATGAGCCATATTACAGTTTAAAGTTAAATAAGCCTTTTAGGATTTGAAGTCTTTTAATTTGTAAATTCGAATTTTCTGGGATACTGGGTTTTTAGTTTAAAGAGAACCCTGGTATTAGACAGTAACCAGGATTACTGGGACTGGTCTCTGAGTAACATTGTTAATTGAGAAAGGTACTGGGTGTGGTGTCATACACCTGTAATTTCAGCCAATGGGAAGGCTAAGGCAAGAGGATCTCAAGATCAAGGCTAACCTCTGCAACTTAGCAAAACTCTGATGAAAAATAAACAACTGGGATGAAAAAGGGGGCGCTGGTAGCTGGGGTGCATTTTAGTAATACAACAACCATGGGTTCAGTCCCTAGTATAAATATAAAGAAGACGAAGGAAGAAGCCTAGAAAATCAGACGAAGAGTTGAGGCTAGAGAACAGAGAAAAGGCTTATTATTGGAGGAAAACTACAGATGTTCAAATAGTGGCAAAATAGCTCTCATACTACACGAATAAAATAGTCATGAGATGAGGTTACTGCCAAGTGAGATGTTATGTTGTAGGAGTAGGAAGAAAATCTCTGACAAACAGGTATTTTTAACAATCATATAAATCTTTAAAGAGGGAGTTAACCTTCATTACTTCCTACATTTTTATGTGAATTTTGTACAAAGATTTATTTGTCATAGATGAAAGAAGTCCTTTTTCATATTAATAGGCATTTTATTACAAAATGTGTAGTAGTTAGCTAAGAAGAATTTTGTCACTTATTTAGTAAATTTTGTTAATAACATTCCATGAAACTTTTGAGATGTTTACTAACTGCTCAGAAAGTGGTTCAACTTTGGTAGTGCTCCAGAGGGAGCCCAGGCAGTCACGACTCTGGCT